TGATAACAATGAGGAGATACTTTTTAGTGTATTTGGAAGGTGCTAGCTTAACCTTAACTGCTAGATAATTTTTTTTTTCTCTCTGTTATTTTTGCTATCTGAACAATAAAATGCTCCTTCTAAAGATATTATAAGTGACTGTTGAAGACCCAATTTGATACATATCATTTGACCCACTTCAAGGCTCTTTTCAATCTAATAGTGTATCGTATCTCCATCTTTATCTGGTTTCCTCATGCCATTTATCCCTCTGGGTGTCTACCTTTTCATCTCTTGCCTCTGTAATAAGTGCTGTCCTCAGATTTCTCTGCCCTTCCTCTGCTGTGGCACATAGAATTGTGGCACGGTGAATCGTGATCATCTTGTACACCTTGAACCATCTATTTTATTTATATTTGATGTAGAATGAAATGCTATTGCAACTAGTTTGGATATTTATAGGGTGTTCTATTTCTCATTCTGTAACTTCGCCTCAATCAAACTAGTTGTGGTCGGCTGTATGGATTCTCTTTATATGGCAAACTATGGTCAGTGTGGCAAGAGTGCAGCAGAAGATATTCTGAAGGAATATTCATGAATAGTGTGAAGCATATTTGTCTATGCATTTGGTCTCTCAGTACAAACAAAAAGATGTAAGTGACTTGAGGATGGCTTAAGAGTTTGTCCTCTTAAGCGCTTACTTTGGCTTGCGTGTATGAAATACTCTTACAACAACAACACCCCAATTCTAAACTGGTTGGGGTGCTGTATAAGTATTCTTACTTACAAAAAAAAAATTGTTTGCTGGATTTTATTACAGGTGCTGCTTTCTTTTCCAGGAATACTAATAACTAAAATAGGTGGTATTGCGCTGCTTCTCATTTGCTTGATCAAGCTTTCTGGTATTTGATGATTAGTAGCACGATTGGGGCCATTTGTGAACTAGATTCCTGAATCTACTGTAGAGATGTAGTTTCTGCAATTCTTTGTTGGACTTGGCACTAATTGGCACTTCTGATGTGTAGGAAACGATCTGAAGGTGAATTTTTGGCTCTGTGTAAGGTTGAACTTTGAAAACAATGGCTGTGAAGGTGGAGAAGAGGACTTGCCAAGGGATGCAAAGGTTGTCAAAACATTGCTAAAATCAATGGGTGTTGGTGACTATGAGCCCCGAGTTGTGCATCAGTTTTAGAACTGCAGCATCAATATGTAATTGATTTACTGACGGATGCTCAAGTCTACTCCTGCATGCAGGGAAGGTTGCCATTGACTCTGATGATATCAAGCTTGCCGTTCAGCTTCTCACAACCCCTGCCACATCAGGTACTAAGTCTTATTAGATCCTTCATTCTTGTGATGTATTCATTATTCCAAGATGTAAATGCATACCTTTCTTAGAGACCTCTTAGGAGTGCGGAGAAACTGAAAACCTTTGCCTTCTCTTGTCTAGGAAGGATAATTAAAATAGGGACTTACTGAATCGAAGGGTTATATGATGTTAACTAAAATGATAGGCTTGGAGTAAAATATGGTTCCATTGCAACTGGAACAAACCTGTTACTTTAGGGTCGTTTGGTACAATGGTGGGACATGGGGTGGGATATCCCATGGAATTAGTTATCCCACCTTCTATATGGGAACTAATCCCACTATTTTAGAGTAAAAGTTATTCCAGGATTAGCTAATATCCCAAACCAAATATGGGATAAAGTTAATCCAAACTTTATCCCGGGATTATTATTCTTATTCCAAGTACCAAACGACCCCTAAGAGTGATGAGAAACCTTAATTCTGAGCTTGAAGTAGTACTATCACTTTACCCCAATTTTGCTGATCTTTTTTCCTTTTTGAATGTACAGTATGTGGTAATTTCACAGTTCAGCAGAACCAATTTCCTCTAACTTGAACACATCTGTTGTGTCGCTTTGAACAAGCTAGAAGTGAAAAATAATCATGACTGCCACTAAAGTATAGCATTATTTGTGAAATGTGTACGAAAAGTTGTCAAACTTATAATTTTGACAATACTTTTGTGGAAAATTTTCAAATTTATCTTTTCACAATACCTTTATGGAGATATTTTAATGGATTTATAATAGTTAACCCTAGAGAGTATTCCATTCAGAGAAGAGAGAAGTGAGATTATGCATTTAGTTTAACCACTATTAGTCTTTTTAAGCTTGGAAATTATGCTTCTACTTACTATATATCGCACTCACATGTAAAGAGTTAAAATGCAAGGTGTTAAACTGTTTGCGAGTGCTGTTCGTTTAATTTGGCAAATAACAGAACACATAGGTATTTTGTATTTTATCCGCCAACAAGTAATATGGGGAAAACCAACACGAAAAAGGAGGGTGGATTATGGTGGTTAATGCAGAATAATTATATGAATCACCTCAATGCAAAATTGTTTATAGAGCACATTGGCTATAGAGGATTTTGGGTGTTATGTTCTATCTCTAACTCATAACATAGGTATTGCTTATTGGTACTTTGATCATGTGATATGGTACGGGAGAAAAAAAAATATTATTGATATCATCTATCAAGTATTTTACAATAGCCCTAAATATAACTTTTTACTCAATACTTATTCTACTCCTATTCCATGGGGACTAGGGTTATTTACATAACTATCTAACACTCCCCCTCAGGCCGGTGCATACAAATCATATGTACCGAGCTTGTTATAAATGTAACTAATATGAGGACTAGTGAGGGACGTGGTTAAATATCTGCAAGCTGATCATTCGACTTCACAAACTTTGTAGCAATATCTCCAAAGAGTATCTTATCTCTGACAAAATGACGAGCAATCTAAATGTGTTTAGTTTTCTCATGGAACACCGGATATTATGCAATATGAAAGGCAGCTTGATTATGTAAATGATGTTTTTTAATTCTTCCCGGACAATTGTCATCAAGGGGCAAGTTGGTCAACTCATACAGATAATGTGTTCTAGTTACTGAAAACTTAAATTGAGGTTTATATAATATTGCATTGAGGGTGAGTACAGTGGAGAAAAACCTTAAAAGATTTCTTTGTAACTAATCATCTTTTTTGTTTTCTTTTGGTGTTTTGTTTCTTAAAAGCTTGTTTGGACTAATAGGTGGTGGAGGATTGACGTAGATCTGTAATTTGCTGTTGCTAAATCTATTGAATTCCAACTCCTTGTCCAAATCAAATTTTTTACCAACTCTAATGCTGGTCAGGACTGATGGAGTTCTTTTGCGAATTAGAGAAAAGAGACACAAAATTCCTCTTCTGCTACTTTTGCTATGACATGAAGATGTTATTTTGAAAAACCAAAAAAGAGGACATAGCGGTCAATCAAAGTAAAGGGATAACATGTTGATATGTGGTTCCACGTTTGATAATTCTCCAAAAGTTAAAAGGTGTATGGTACTTGAGGCTTCGCCCCTTCTTCTTCTTCTTCTTCTTCTTAACTCAACTTTTTGTATTGATTAAGCTAAACACAGCTTTAGAGGCTTACAAGATAAGGCAGTAGAAAAGAAGTCTCACTTCTAGCTTTTAGTCTTATGCAGGCAGCGGCAGTCAGGAATGAAGTTTGAACATTTTATAGCATTCCTTGAAAATCTTATACAACTGCACCAACAAATGCATAACGTGCAATTTAGGTTTCAAGGTGTAAAAAATATTCTTAAGATACCAAGTTGCTTAAGCAGCTCGAGAGCAACTTACCTGGCTGTAGGTGGTAGATGATTTAAACATTTGAATTTTGCATTCGTTGTGACCCCATGTGTATAACATATCTAATGATCTCCTTGTCTGCTTAACGCTAGCTTATGTCATGTAAACACTACTTGCGTTTATCCCCTTAAATTTCTGTCCAGTGTTAGTCGATCTTGTCTGTGCGTTTTTCTTTTTGCGGGATAAGGTTGCTTTTGTGCTTGCTGGTATTCTGTTCTGTTGCTTCATGCCATGGTGACCCTTTTTCTGCATCTTATGCTCTTCTGTTAATTTTTGTAACTCTTCTGAAAATAATCCTGCTTTTAGTTGGTATCTATGATGAGTGACCAATAAAAAACAAAATTGAAAAAATGGAAGCTACTTTTGCTTGACCAGATTTAACTTCATTGTGCAGCTCTTTGTTGATGATTAAAAAATTAAGCAACTACTATTCCGCTCAACAACATTTCTGACATGTGGATCTGGTAAGTAGAATAGATAAATTCACGTAGTTGGACTACATGTGCTGCTTTAGATAACTGATTCTGACCAACTTCAGGTTGTTCCAGGTAATGAGAACAGAGCCTTGCACTCCATGCAATCAAGATTTGTTCTAGGAAGGTGGTTGGGGGACTTTCGTCCCATTAATTTTCAATTTAGTTGCCTTTACATGACACATTTTCAAGCTTTGGCAACATTCTTTCTTGCAAGATAGCTACTGATTCTAATGGCTAGTCAAAGGGTTACTATACAATATGACAATGAAATCTGCTCAAGGTTGTTGCGGAAGCCAAATGTATATAGTGTGAATAAGTCACAACTACTATACCAAAAATTATGACAGCCACCAAATAATAAATAAGACAATAAAACAACAATAAAGGAAACACCAGAATTTACGAGGTTCGGCTAATTTTGTCTACTCCTCGGACACAACCAATATTTTATTCCACTCCAAAAATACAAGTGAAATAATACTAAAGAGAGAAGATACAAATGCCTTAAACAGATGAGAAGGCAAATGAGAGGTGTGTTTCAATCCTAAACATTAGGCCTTCTTTTATAGGGGAAAAATCCCCCCCAAACTTAACTCCCAACCAATGTGGGACTTTGGCATTTTGCCAAACTTCAACAAAGGTGCCATAGATAAGTTAAATGGTATTCTCATGAATGATAAGCAAGTATATGTTGGGCATTTTCTCCGCAAACAGGAAAGAGAATCTGCAACTGGCACGACAAAATTCCAAAATGTCTGTCAAAAATTTGTCGGACTCTACGACTAATTAGTGATGAGCTGAAGAAAGTTTTTGGTGAGTTCGGGAACATTACTAGTGCAGTAGTGATGAGAGATGCAGATGGAAAGTCCAAGTGTTATGGGTTCGTCAATTTTGAAACTGCAGAGGATGCTGCTAAGGCTGTTGAATCCTTAAATGGAAAGAAATTTGATGATAAAGAGTGGTATGTTGGGAAAGCACAGAAGAAATCTGAAAGAGAGCAAGAATTGAAAAGCAAGTTTGAGCAGACTGCCAAGGAGGCGGTTGATAAATACCAAGGTGTTAACTTGTATGTAAAAAATTTGGATGACACCATTGATGATGAGAAGCTCAAGAAACGTTTTTCAGAGTTCGATACGATAACTTCATGCAAGGTATACAATTTCTCGTGGATGAACTTTTCCTACGGTTTCTGTTGATGGTACTGATATGTTGCATCTTTTCCTCTTTTCCCTTTTTTGTCTCTTCTCGTCTTCTTGAGCTGAGGGTCTATCTGAAACAACATCTCTACTCCTCGGATAGGGGTAAGGTCTGTGTATGCACTACCCTCTCCAGACTCCACTAGTGGAATTTCATTGGGTTGTTGTTATTGTTGTAGCATGATGTCAGCAGCTGTCTTGGGCCGAGCCACGGGTGGACTGCAAAAACTCCCATTGATGATGATCAGACGTGTATGTGACATTGCTTGCCATGAAAATTGTTGAAGATCCGATTTCTCATCAATATGCTAGCTGGTGGAAGAATCCTTTTTTTTTGTTTGTCAAGTTTGCAGTTATGTCGAACCCAATGATCCAATCAGAATCTTCTTCCAGCAGTCTACTTCAGTCTCAACTCGGGCATTGTTCATACGAATCACAGCCTGCTGAAAACTCGATATACTTATTGTTTGAAGTTTCGCATGTCTGAGATACTTTTCTTTGGGTAATTGCTTCAATGCTGTAGAGCTTACTTGTGTATATGAAGTAATAATGCGGTTGGTATAAGTACCAAACCTTCAAGTGTTAAGGGATTAGAGTGTATTTTATGAGTGTATTTTTTCAACACTAAACTAACCAAAATAATAACAACAACCCAGTAAAATACCAATACTGAGGTTTGGGGTGGGTAGTGTGTACGCAGACCTTACCCCTACCCCGAAGGAGTAGAGAGGCTGTTTCCGAAAGACCCTTGGCTCAAGAAAACAAAAAGACAAAAGGAGACAATATACTAACAGGGATACCATGAAATTCAGAAGAAAGATGCAAAGCAAAAGCAATAGCTAGTAAATAGTTCCTGCGCTGAAAAGTGAAATAGTAAGACACAACATTGCCACTAACTATGTTAGACAAAAACTCTATCAGACTGGTCTCGCAATGGTACAAAGTAAGGAAAGACTCAAACTACCTCCTAACCTACAATCCTAATACTCGACCTCCACATCTCCCTATCAGGTGTCACGTCCTCAGAAATTTGAAGCCTCGCCATATCCTGCCTGATCACCTCTCCCCAATATTTCTTAGGCTGCCCTCTACCTCTTCTCGTGCCCTCCACAACCAGCTGCTCACATCTCCTTACCGGATGCATTTGGGCTTCTCCTCTGAACATGCCCGAACCATCTGAGTTTCGCTTCCCGCATTTTGTCATCAATGAGAGCCACATGCACATTCTCCCGAATATCATCATTCCTAATCTTATCCATCCTAGTGTGCCCGCACATCCACCTCAGCATCCTCATTTCTGCTACTTTCATCTTCTGGATATGTGAGTTCTTTACAGGCTAGCCCCATACATCATGGCCGGTCTAACAACCGCTTTATAGAACTTACCTTTGAGTAACGGTGACACTGTCTTATCACACAAGACTCCAGATGAGAACAAGTAATCGCAGGGCTTGCCACAAATGTCAATGTGTTGACAAAAATGTTCACGGAAAGTCAAACAAAAAAGGTGAATATGGTGGAGGATGTGCAACCTATATCAAATGAAGATTTTGAGGAACCAAACTACATCAACAACCGTCAAGGAGGGTATCAAAGACAACAATACCAAGGTCAAGGACAACAAAATTAATGGAGGCCAAACCCGCAAGGGCAAGACAACCAATAATGGCGAAATGACCAAGGTGGCTCCGATCAAGGAAATTGGAACAACAACAACAACTTCTCAAACCGGAGTTCAAACTCATATGTTCCACCAAAGGGTCAATATTCAAATCAAGGTTCTTCAAGTGAATGTAAGTTGGAAGGCATGCTTGAACGGGTATTGCAAAATCAAGAGAAGTTCGACACTTCTATGAGGAATATGACCAAGCTTGTTGGCTCTCATACCGCATCCATTCAAAAATTGGAGATGTAAATGAGAGACCTCTCTAGGGAACAAAATCCAAAGCAAAAGGGAAAACTCCCTAGTGACACAATTGCGAACCCAAGGGATAGTGGGATTGGTCCAACTTCTCATGTAATGGAAATTACTACTCGGAGTGGGAAGGTACTACAAGGAGACGGTGAACAAGTGGTTGAAGTAGAAGATTCCGAACAAGGGGTTGAGGTTGAAGAGCCAAGTGTTGCCGAAGTTGAGAAGATTCTGAAAGATTTGCAAGTGCAAAAAGAGAATCGGGAAGAGGTAAAGGAAAAGGTAAAAGAGACACCAAAAACTCTTCCTCCTATTCCTAGACCTCCTCCTCCATTCCCTCAAAGACTCGCTAGGAAGGTTGATGATAGCAAACTCGAAAAGTTCTATGACATTCTCAAGCAATTATCAGTGAATATTCCATTTGTGGAAGCATTTCAAGAGATGCCGGGTTTTGCTAAATATTTGAAAGACTTGATTACCAAGAAGAGAACCACCAAAAATGAAGTGGTGAATGTGACTCACCGGGCTAGTTCCATCATTGCAACATCCACCGTTCAAAAGAAAGAAGACCCAAGAGCTTTCACCATTCCTTTTACTATTGGGGCACATGATTTTGCAAGAGCCCTTTGTGATAATGGGGCTATCATCAACTTGATGCCTCTTGCCATTTACAAGAAAGCAGGGTTAGTATGCCAATGCCCACAAGTATGAGAATGCAAATGGCCAATCGTTCCATAAAGAGACCGGTGGGAATTATTGATGATGTGCTTGTTAAAGTGGGAAAGTTTCATTTACCCGTCGATTTCGTAATCCTTGATTGTGCGGTTGACAAAGAGATCCCTATCATTTTAGGGAGACAATTCCTAGCCACAGGGAGAGCACTAATGGATTCGGAACGAAATGAGATCAAATTTCGTATGGATGATGAAGAGGTTACATTCCAAGAAAGCAAGGGTATGAAAATACCACATGAGTATGAAATCATCTCGGTGATCGATGTTGTTGATGAAGTAGAAGATGCAGTTGAAATGAAAATGGAAGAACAATGCCTCAGCGAGGCATTGACGGCTATTTTGGTGAACTTTGATGGTGAAGATATGGAGGGGTACACGGAATCGGTAAATGCATTGGAGGGGCTTGGGTCCTACACTTATGCTCCGACAAAGCTCTCTCTCGACTTGGAGAATAGGGCCACTCCTCTCGCAAAGACTTCTATTATTGATCCACCGCAACTAGAGCTCAAACCACTTCCACCACACTTGAGGTATAAATTTCTTGGCTCAAATGATACTTTACCGGCAATTGTTTCTTCTTTGTTGAATGATGTATAGGTATAAAAATTGTTGGAAGTTTTGAAGGATCATAGGCAAGCCATTGGATGGACAATTACGGGCATCCGAGGGATTCCCGCCGGAATATGCGAACACAAGATCCAATTGGAGAGTGAAATAAAACCAAGTGTAGAACATCAACGATGGTTGAACCCGTCCATGCAAGAGGTGGTAAAGAAAGAAATCATCAAGTGGTTGGATGCCGGGGTAGTCTACCCTATTGCCGATAGTTCTTGGGTGAGCCCAGTGCAATGTGTGCCGAAAAAGGGAGGCATGATCGTAATTGAAAATGATAAAAATGAGCTCATCCCAACAAGAACGGTGACCGGTTGGAGGGTGTATATGGATTATCGGAAGCTCAACAGTGCCACATGTAAAGACCATTTCCCTATGCCTTTTATTGATCAAATGCTTGATCGTCTAGCGGGAAGGTCATTCTATTGCTTCCTTGATGGATATTCCGGCTACAACCAAATCAACATAGCATTGAAGGATCAAGAGAAGACGACATTCACTTGCCCTTATGGAACTTTTGCCTTTAGCCGGATGCCATTTGGTTTGTGCAATGCTCCGGCTACTTTTCAAAGATGCATGATGTCCATTTTCTCCGACATGGTGGAGGATTTTCTAGATGTTTTCCTGGATGACTTTTCGGTGGTAGGTGACTCTTTTGAGTATTGTCTCTACAATCTTAGACAAGTGCTTAATAGATGTGAGGAGACCAACCTTGTGCTTAACTGGGAGAAATGCCATTTCATGGTGGATTAAGGCATTGTATTGGGGCATAAAATTTCAAAACATGGCATAGAGGTTGATCGAGCAAAGATCGAGATCATTTCCAAGCTTCCTCCACCTACTTCCGTTAAAGGTGTCCGAAGTTTCATAGGGCATGTCGGGTTCTATAGGCGTTTCATCAAGGATTTTTCCAAGATTGCAAATCCTATGTGCAAATTCCTTGAGAAAGATGCAAAATTTGTGTTTGACGAGAAATTCCTCAAAGTCTTTGAGGAATTGAAGCAAAGGCTCACCACGGTACCTATTATTGTCACACCTGATTGGTCTCTTCCTTTCGAGCACATGTGTGATGCTAGTGGTGTAGCTATTGGAGCAATGCTTGGCCAACTTCATAACAAGGTTTTACACCCGGTCTATTATGCAAGCAAGACACTCAATGGAGCGCAAATGAATTACATAGTGATTGAGCAAGAACTTCTTGCCATTTTCTATGCCTTTGAGAAGTTCCGGGCTTATTTATTGGGATCTAAGGTGATAGTGTACACACATCATGCTGCTCTTCGCTATCTCATGGCAAAGAATGATGCAAAGCCTCGGTTGATTCGATGGGTCTTGTTGTTGCAAGAATTTGACTTCGAGGTCAAGGATCGCAAGGGAACTCAAAATCAAATAGCGAATCATTTATCAAGGCTTGAAGAGGTAGGGAGGCCAAAGGGAGATCTTGAAATCAACGATGCATTCCCAGATGAACACATATTGGCACTATCTAGCACTTTTGCTCCTTGGTATGCTGATATTGCTAACTACTTGGTTAGTGACCTTATTCCGGATGGATTGGAATCCTATCAAAAGAAGAAGAGATTATGCCAATTCTAAAGGCATGCCATGACTCACCGGTTGGGGGTCACCATGGGGGAAATCGAACGGCGGCTAAGGTGCTTGAATGTGGTTATTATTGGCCGTTGATCTATTATGATGCCAATCAAATGGTCAAGGCTTGTGACCAATGCCAAAGGTAAGGATCAATCTCCAAGAGGCATGAAATGCCAATGCACTATGTGATGGAGATAGAAATCTTCGACGTGTGGGGAATTGATTTTATGGGTCCCTTTGTAAGCTCTTGTGGGATGAAATATATCTTGGTGGCTATGGACTATGTGTCCAAATGGGTTGAAGCAATTGCCTTACGAAACAACGAGGCAAGAAGTGTCACCGCATTCTTAAAGAAAAACATATTCACTTGGTTTGGCACTCCTAGAGCCATTCTTAGTGATGGTGGGTCTCATTTCTGTAACAAGGCTTTCACGGGGCTACTAGATAAATATGGTGTCAAGCATAAGGTGGCCACACCTTATCATCCCCAATCAAGTGGTCAAGTTGAGGTTTCCAACCAGGAGATAAAGAGCATTCTAGCAAAAACTGTTAATGCAAACAGGACCGATTGGTCAAGGAAGATAGATGACGCATTGTGGGCATACCGTACAGTGTACAAAACTCCTATTGGAACTT